AGCAGTAGCACCAGCAGCCGTAGCACTACCAGCAGCAGCAACAACAACAGCAGTAGTATCATCATCAGCAGCAGCAGCAGTAGCACCAGCAGCCGTAGCACTACCAGCAGCAGCAACAACAACAGCAGTAGTATCATCATCAGCAGCAGCAGCAGTAGCACCAGCAGCCGTAGCACTACCAGCAGCAGCAACAACAACAGCAGTAGTATCATCATCAGCAGCAGCAGCAGTAGCACCAGCAGCCGTAGCACTACCAGCAGCAGCAACAACAACAGCAGTAGTATCATCATCAGCAGCAGCAGCAGTAGCACCAGCAGCCGTAGCACTACCAGCAGCAGCAACAACAACAGCAGTAGTATCATCATCAGCAGCAGCAGCAGTAGCACCAGCAGCCGTAGCACTACCAGCAGCACCAGCAGCAGCAGAAGCAGCAGTTACACAGGCACTAGTAGTGGTACTATATGACGAGTAGCAGCAATACATAGAAGGAGGACAGCATCTCTTATTATAAGAATCGCCGGCTGTGTAGAAAAGAAGCCATCTTCTACATTTTCTCTCTTCCGCTCACCATCTCTTTCCCACAATTTCTTTCCCCATCAGCTTCCCCCCTATCAACTCCTCTTCTTCACCACCTTCTCCCCCACCAACTTGACAGCTTCCCCCGACCACCTTCTCCCCTATCAACTTGTCTTCTTCACCACCTTCTCCCCCACCACCTTTCCCCGACCACCTTTTTTCCTACCAACTCCTTTCCCCCTCTACCTTCTCTCCACCACCTTCTTCCCCAACACCTTTTCTCGACCACCTCCTCCCATATCAACTCCTCTCTTTGACCATTTTCATCCCCCAATAGTTCACCTTTCCTCCATCACCTCCTCCTTTCCTCCCCATCCATCGCTTGTCTGTTTTCACACGGCGGGTGCAACGCGACCTCTAGTAATTCTATACGCTATATAACGTTTGACATTCCACCCCTCCTTCCCCCTCTTTCATCCTTCTCCTCATCATCTCCACCCTCTCCTTTATCAGCCAGAGTTGCACATACAATTGTGACATGTACACCCTGATATAGCAAGATGCGGGCTTAGTTGGTAACGTTGACAGAGGTCAACGCACGCGTTTAAAGAGGGATGCTTAGACCGTCTCTACGGCTTGTAGATCCACTGCCACTACCCCGCGTGTGTGAAGGGGAGGTCTGGACCGTCTCTAGGGGACGTAGATCCACTGCCACTACCCTGCGTGTGTGAAAGGGAGGCCTAGACCATCTCTACGGCTTGTAGATACACTGCCACTACCCCGCGTGTGTGAAGGGGAGGTCTGGACCGTCTCTAGGAGACGTAGATCCACTGCCACTACCCTCGTGTGTGAAGGGGAGGTCTGGACCGTCTCTACGCGACGTATATCCACTGCCACTACCCCGCGTGTGTGAAAGGGGAGGCCTGGACCGTCTCTATGGGATGTAGATTTGCTATCCTGTGCCTGCCTGAATTAGTCTGCCGTGCCTGCTTAATTAACACTGAAAACTATAGCGAAGATGCGATGAGAAAACATCAAATCGGTGAATAACGCCACGAGATAGCGAGACGTTGGTGTAGCAATAACCGATTTATAGAAACTACTACTAAACCCATACCTAGAGTTGACTACGACTAGAAAGTTACCTACCTCTGTAACATAACTAGTTTACTACATAAATAAACGCCCAGAACCCCAAGAGGAAACAAGGATTTGCTGAAAATTTGTACGATGGACTTAGACAACGACGTTTGTATTAAATTTCTACGCGGAAAATGGCCCCGGGGTGGTGTGATGTGTTTTTTTTTGGCCCAATCAATGGTGAATTTTCTACCAACTAATGTCGTGCGCACGAGAAAGGGTGAATAACGGAAAACCATGGGGACGGGAGTAGAGAGGAGGTATAGGGCGAGGGAGCTTCCTCTTCTCTCTCACGAAAGAATCTAAATAAAGAAATGAAAGAATGAATAAATTCTGAAGGAATAAGGATCTGCAGGAATAAAGAACATGAAGGAATCATAAAGGAATGTATTGAATCTGCGTACTCTAGATTTTCGTGGGGAAAGAGACTGCGGTGAAGTCTGTTTTGTGCCCTCCTTATGGTTTCCTTTGATAAACGACCTATATAATAAGTTTGCTACGGGAACCTATGGAAGGGAAATGCGAACGCGCGCAACACTACGGCTTCGTGGGAGAAAGAGTTTTGGGTGAAGTTTGTATAAAAAGGTTTTTTCATAAACGACCCGTGTTATATTCTCTCTACTACTAAGGTTTTCTACGAGGGAGAAGGAAGTGATGGATGTTGCGGGGAGACGGTTATGACGGCGGCTTCCCCCTGTAGCTCCTCCCCTTCCCCCTCATCCATCGTCAATAAATCTCACTGGCTTTACTGGATTCAAGACGAAGATAATAAGGCAAGCTTAGAAGCATCTGACAAGTATGAAACACAAACGCGTGAGTTGAAGAAAGAAGAAACCATCCGTTCGTCTCGATATCTATTCGTGGCCGTCGATTCAAGATGGCGTCCTACTATTTTCGTCTGAGCTCTAGCAACTAGCAGCGTGGATCCACGCACCCCATAGTGGCTCTACCCACACGCCGCTGTTAAATTTCATAGCAGGAAACTAACGCAGTGCATCCACGCACCCCATAGTGGCTCTACCCAGGTCCATTTTCAGTTTTATATCTATATCTTGACACAGTGTGACTAACCACACCCAATTATTGGCGCTACCCCCGCCCCTGTACAATTTTATAGCTTGAAACTAACACTGTAGAACCGAACAATCCTACCCAGGCATGCTGTTAAATTTTGAATTCGTTTTAAATTATATAGCCGGAAACTAACACACTGCAGCTACGCCCCTTAGCGCCTGCCCGGGTCTCCAGTCTAATTTTATATGTAGAGACAACGGTCTCCGTACAGTAGTCCTACAACCCAAGCTGTTCCACACTGGCCAACCCCGCGTTCACATTTGTACATAGTTATACGTGGTTACACATGGGCTCGCTGTCCCGCCCTACCGCCACCGCCACTTCGCTGTCATCGCCCTGTATATTTATCGTGGTTCTGTGTGTGTGTGTGCAAGAGAGAGAGAGAGAGAGAGAGAGAGAGAGAGAAAGAAAGAGAGAGAGAGCGAGCGAGAGAGAGAGAGCGAGAGAGGGAGAGAGAACGAGAGAGAGAGAGAGAGAGAGAGAGAGAGAGAGAGAGAAAGGGAGAGAGAAAAAGAGAGAGAGAGAGAGAGGAGAGAGAGAGAGAAAGAGAGAGGGAGAGGGAGAGAGACGGGTACACGTTTTCCACTGTATACCGCATCTTCTTTTCCTTCTCTCTTCCCATCTCTCTCACACACACACCGGGTGTTTTATTTCAGCTTTACTAATTTGGTCCGTGCACCGCGGCACGCGTGCGCTCCCCAGGCCTGCTCCTCCTCCTTCTCCCCTTCCTCCGTCTTATCCCCCTCCTTCTTCCTTAAGCATACGGTCATACAAACATGAAGCGCTTCGTAACTCAACGGTAGAGCGTGCGCGCGCCGGATATATATAGATCAGCGGCAGCAGCAGAAAAAGAAGAAGTAGTATTGGTAACAACATTTCTGCTATCTCACGCGAAGAGGTCACAAGATGGCGGCCTTCGCGGCACGGCATCCCGGCATGCATCGCTCGCGACAGACACAATGCATGATGTGTGTGTGTGTGTGTGTGTGTGTGTGTGTGTGTGTGTGTGTGTGTGTGTNGTGTGTGTGTGTCGTGTGTGTGTGTGTGTGTGTGTGTGTGTGTGTGTGTGTGTGTGTGTGTGTGTGTGTGTGTGTGTGTGTGTGTGTGTGTGTTGGGGTTGGGGGGGGGGTAATAAAGGTGCCGATTTCAGGAAGTAATTCACGGCCTAGTTAATGATGGGTTTTTTATGACCACGATGACAACGACGACGACGACGAGGATGACGACGACGACAACAGAATCTGCCAAATATATCAAACGAATCATACAAATTAGTTTAGTTTGCATAGTTCTTCTTTATTCTTTATTTCGTTATCCTTTCTTCTTCTAGTTTTTGGTCTAGTCGTACCGCATCTTCTATCAACATTCCATCATCTGCCTTTCTATCTATTTCTTCACGAATTTGCGTCCTTAGTAACCGATACTTTGCTGCATGAATCCCACAATGAACAAAAGGCAACGACTGTGCGAATAATTTTACGAATGAGATTTAGTTTTACAGTTTATTTGCCCTAGCGCGTTCTTCAACGCGTAAAATAAGCGCATAAGCGAGTTCTCCGATGCGTAAAATTCTGAACGTATGATTAATTGTGCGTATTGTCAGTGTGATTCTCCGAGTTTCTAAGCTACAGATAATGTTTCCTCATTTTTCCTCTAGCGTCTATTCTAAGCGTGTGTTTAGCTGCGCGTATTTTCTTGGAGTGTCTGAGAATTTTTTTTGCAACTTTAGCAAATACTGCGAGAGCATCGCTATGGGGGATGATATGAGAAACCTAAATTTTCTCACATGTTAATACTTATTTCTTCAAGATACACTATTGATATAGATAGTGATGATATATATATAATAATTATATAATATACTTATATCTATTATATGCAATATATACCATTTTACACATATATATTAATTTATAAAATTTCCACTACGGCATGTGGCACAAATCAAAATATGATAGTTGATAATGAATTGATACCATGCTCAGCATTTCGCCAACTGTGTCTAGATGACGAGATACGCGTTATCAAAAAATTGTGACTCTTTCCTGTGAAATCGACTTTACGAGGGCGACGATAGGTGGACCGTGGGCTGGCTGGTGAGGCGCGGAGGGGGGCGTGTCTGTGTGGCGGGACCACTGAGACTAGACTAACCAAAGTGATAAAGCTAGAACTAACAACAGAATAGATGCATATGATATTAATATATATATAATATATAGTTTATAAGTAATAACTATACTATATATAATAGAGAGAGAGAAGACGAGAGGAGCAGAGAGAGAGAGATGCGAGAGAGGCGAGAGGAGATATAAGCGTAGGATATTAAGAACGGAATATGCGTGAGAATCATTAAACTAAAATAAGTCTTAAAACAGGATGTTCGCCCAATAAAGGAATAAAAGTATACTTCTATTGTGCCAACAATGCAGCTAAATATAGTATATTGTATATTATACATTATATATATACCAATATCATAGCATATATATCTATATAATATATATATTATACTATAATATATTTATGCAGGTAAGAGTAACCATATCTAATAATCGCCGTGACTCGGTTCGAAGGCCTCAGAAAAAAGAATAAACTAACGAACTAAGAACTAAAGAGACTAAACACAGGAAAAAAACTGTAATTAAATAACTACTCTAAGTTTACTAGGGGAATGACGCAACAGCCATCAACAAGATCACGCGACTGCAAAATTTTGCCATAAAGTAGGGCCAGATGCAAGACAACACCGTATTCGAAATGTTGTTAAAGTTATGCAGAAAAAAATGTTAATTATAAATGTTAAAGATTCTGTTATTCGTGGGTGTGAAAAAATTCCTTAAATGGATTATAAATCAATGTTGGACTAATGAATAATTGTCACAAAGATACTATATATTATTATATATTATACAATATTGTTAATACTCATAAGTAACTTCCGCTGTTGTTAGTTTCGTTACTTAGTTACGCCTGGCGTGTTATCTAAACTAACAAACCAATAAAGAAACCAACAGATTTAACTCAATTAACTTCGCCAAAACATTTCAATGAATCATTAAATTGCATCGATTAACATTTGCATTCGAATGCGGGACAATTTCTTCGTTCTGCACGTAAAATGAAGCATCGGTTACCCACTGATTTCGGATGATTATTCTATTAATTCACTTGGTAGCTATTCTAGTTTTCGAATAGTCGAGTTTTTAGAATTTTCTTCAATAGGAGCGAGTAATAATCTTGGACGACCTTCGCTATTTTGTCATCCACCCTCTGGTGGCTAAATTTGTATGCATGACGTCAGGTCGCCATGTTGGGTCACGTCACACAGCTCTCTCTCTCTCTCTCTATCTCGTCTGCTATCTCTCTCTCTGTCCGCTCTCTCTTCCTCTGTTCTCTCTCTCTCTCTCTCGTCTCTGCTTTTTCTCCTTGTTCTCTCTCATCCGCCTTGCTCTCTCTCTCTATCTCTCTCTCTCTCTATCTCTCCTCCTTTCTCTTCTCTCTTCTCTCGCCTCTTCTGCTCCGCTCTCTCTTCTCTCTTGCTCTCGCAGCTCCGCTCTCGCTCTCCTCTTCTCGCTGTTGCTCGCCGTCTTCACTCTTCTTGCCCGGCTTCTCCTCGCTTCATCGCTCTAAAGTGGATGCCCCGTATATACACCAACTAACATACGAACTAAGAGGTTTTAAAATGCGAACGCATTTTTTTGAAACTTGAAAGGGAGGGGAATCAGAATCGAAAGAATGGAGATTAAATAACAATAAAATTTTCGACACATAGGAAGATGTATGTATCACTGTGTTAAAGTCCATTGGACTGGCGATGGGAGTCTATTTAATAGAATACAGCTTGTTATTGGCGTTATTGATAGTGTTAGAAGATTCCACCGCACGCATCTTAGTAGTTGCGTCTCTCTTGTCACTCTTCTCTCTCTCTCTCCACGGGCTGCTCGTCCCTGCTCTCGCTTTTCTTCTCTCACCTACTTTCTTTACTCTATACTCCCTCTCTCTCTCATCCTTCCTGGCCCACTTTCTTATAATCCCCCGTCTCTCGCTCTCGTCTCTCCCACTTGCCCTTCTCCTATCCCTTTCTCTTCTCTCTTTCTCCCTCTCTCCTTTCTCTCTTCTCTCGCTATCTCGTTGTTTTATGCCCGCATTGTTTTCTTTTGCCGCCGCTCCCAGCTTTCGCACACGCACACGCTCCGAGCACGCACACACCCCACGCACGCACGCACACACGCCTATTTTGGCTTCATCCAGTCCTTCTGTTTGAGATCCACTGTTAGTAGCAGCAGCAGCAAGCAGCCAGCCAGCAGCAGCAGGCCAGGCAGCAGCAGCAGTAGCAGCAGGCAGCAGCATGCGCAGCCACTAGCTAGTAGTATGCGTGGTTAGTCGGTAGTGGTAGTGGTAGTAGTATAGTAGTAGTAGTAGTGAGTAGTAGTTTAGTAAGTAGTAGGTTTAGGAGGAGGAGGAGGAGGAGGGAGGAGGAGGGAGGAGAGGAGGAGGAGGAGGAGGAAGAGAAGAGCGAGGAGGAAGAGGAGCGTGAGTGATGTGTTTTTTGTGCGACGCTCCTTTCACCTCGTAAAGCACAAACACAAACACACACACACGACACACGCGCGCGCGCGCACGCACGCACGCACACACACACACACGGCGACGTTGTTGTTAATCCGCCGTACTGGCGCGTGCGACGGAGTCACATCCGCTTCCGTAATCCGTAATCCGTGCAAAACACGTATCCGACAACAATGCGGGCCGCAATCCGGGAATCGGTCCGGTTTCCATAGCAACGCACGCGCGCACACACACGGGTTCTCACCTCGAAACGGCGCAGCTCAGCCGACTCCATGTTGAAACCCCCGAGCCCGCCAAAGCTCGAGAAACCGCTGCCACCGCCGCCCGACGTGAAATAGGACGTCTTCTTCGTGAATCCCCTGGACGCCATCTTTGGTCTAAAGGCGAAAATTTCTCTGTCCGTTCGTTTGTTACGGGTCGCTGTGGCTTGCTTTCAAACACAAGAGGCTGCTGCTGGCTGCAACACAACGAGCGGACCGCGGGAGTCAAGGGAAGGCGTCGACGACTCGGAGCAGACTGGCTAGAGTTTCCCGGCGTTCATGCTTTAAATTCACGCCGCCGATAGAGGGGGTGGCGTGCGTCGCCGAGGTTCGGGTTACACGGGGCGTCTGCTTGCGTTGCTGGTACATACTCTTCTCTCTCTCTCTCTCTCTCCTCGCTCTCTCGCTCTCTGCCGTCTCTTTCCTCATCTCTCTCTCTGCTTTCTTTCTTTTCTCTCTCTCTCCGTCCTCTCTCCTCCTTACACTCTCGTCTCCTCGTCTCGCGTCGTTCCTGCTCTCTCTCCATCTCTCTCTCTCTTCCTCTCTCTCTCTTTCTCGCCTCTCTCTGCTCCTCAACTCTCTCTCTCGGTTCTCCTTGCTCTCTCCGTCTTCCGCTGGTTCTCTCTCTCTCCCCCTCTCCTCTCTCTCCTCTCTCCTCTCTCTATCTCTATCGTCTATCTCCTCTCTCTGCTCGCACGATTTTCTCTGCGTCTCTCTCTCCTCTCTCTCTCGCGTTCTCTCTCCCTCGCGGCACGTCACGCGCCGCTGTCTCCCTCTCTCTCTCTCTCTCTCTCTCAGTTCTCTCTCTCTCTCTCTCTCTCTTTCTTTCTTTCTCTCTCCTCTTTCTCTGCTCTCTCTAACTCTCTCATCGTCTTCGCGGATTCTCTCTCTCTCTCTCTCTCTTCTCTCTCTCTCTTTCTCGCTCTCTCTCTCTCTTCTGCCAACTACTCTCTCTCTCTTCTTTCTCTTCTCTCTCTCTCGCGTTCTCTCTCTCTCCCTCTCTCTCTCTCCCTCTCTCTCTCTCTACTCTCTCTCTCTCTCTCTCTCTCTATCTCTATCTCTATCTCTCTCTCTCTCTCTCTCGCGTTTTCTCTCTCATCTCTCTCGCGTTCTCTCTCCCTGCTCCTCTTCTCTCCTCTCTCTCTCCTCTTCTTCTCTCTCTCTCTCTCTCTCTTGCTCTCTTTTCGCTTCTGGCTCACACGGCCCGACCCTATTACACACGCAGTGCTGCGTGTATACTCCGACACAAGTAATAACATTGGACAGTTGTGTAGCGGTGGGCGCATAGCGACGGAGAGAAGATGGGGGCGTCATAAAGAAGGCGCGAAGAAGCTAATGAAGCGCAGACTGAGAAACGACGTAAGGGGTGTGGCTGACGGGTTGTTAGTCGACCAGAGTTCGTGAGGGAGGGATTTGTATTTTCGGGACTTAGTAGGAACGGTTAGAGTTTCTAGTCGCCAATTCGAATGGCATTCGAACATGCTTTAAGGTGGCGGGACAATTTTTTTTTAAGAGATTTCAACGAGAGATAAAGAAAGACCAAACAGAGAAGACGAGGAGAGGGGGGAGCAGCGGCGCGGGCGAGAGATGAGGAGAAAGCGACGGCGAGGACGAGAGATGATAGAGACGTGAGAGGAGAGCGGAGAGACGAGGAGGAGGAGAGATAGAAAGAGATGAGAGGAAAAGATGAGGACTAGGCGAGAGAAGAGAGACGAGAGAGAGAGAGAGGAGAGAGAGAGGGGTGAGAGAGGAGGAGAGAGAGGAGATAGGACGATGGAGAGAGGCGAGAAAAGGAGAGATGGATGTGAGGGTGTGGGTAAGAGAGCGGGAGAAAGGAGAGCGGGTGATCAGAGAGGGGATGTGAGCAGGGAGAGGTAGGTGGGAGCGAGTGAGAGAGAGAGGATAGGTATGAGTTATATTTATAGCGAGAGGACGCGAGGAGAGAAGAGGAGAGAGGCAGGAGGAGGGGAGGTGAGGGGAAGATGATCGGAGGTAGAATCGCGCGCGGTGGTTGAGCTCGGCTGTGGTAGGGAAAGGAGAGACAAAGTGGGTGCGAAGCGGGAGCCCCGGGGGGTGCGCGGGCAGAGGGGTCGGATGAGGAAAGCGGCAAGACGACGAGTCCAGAGCGAGAGAGAGAGAGGGGGGGAGAGTGAGAGAGGAGAGAGACAGAGATCTAGGAGAGTGGACGGGGGAAACAGACATACAGGCAGCACAGAATAGAGACAGGCAGGGAGGACAGGGACTGATAGACAAAGAAAGAGAAGGAGAGGCACGCACGAGAGAGAAAGGACAAATGAGGAACGGAGTAAAGATTAAGCGTGAGAGACTTGAAAAGCGAAGCCAGGAAAATGTGTTCAGGCGCGTCGGGTTTGTTGTGAAAGAGACAGAGAGAGAGAAGAGTGCGGCGAGACAGAAATAGTAGAGTTGTGGATTAGATGAGATAGATAGATAGATAGACAGATAAATAGATCAGATAGATAGATATGATAGAAGATAGATAGATAGATAGAGATAGATGAATATGAATAGTATCTTAGATAGATGAGTAGATAGATAGTAGATTAGAAGAGATAGATAGATAGGAGTAGGTTAGATAGCCATAGATAGATGGCTAGCTAGGTAGATGAGATAGATAGATAGATAGATAGATAGATAGATAAATAGATACTATAGATTAGATAGATAGATAATTAGATATGATAGATGCATAGATAGATAGAATAGATTTAGATAGATAGGATAGATAGTATATGAATAGATAGATAGATTAGATTATGATAGATAGATAGAGTAGATAGATAATAGATAATGATAGAGTAGATAGATCGATAATATAGATAGATTAGATTAAGATAGAAGATAAGATAGTCAGATAGATAGATAGATATGATAGATACATACATACATACATACATAATAGCATAATACATACATACATACATACACTACATCATAATTACATACATACGCAGTACATACAATACTCATCACATACATACATAAGTACATATACAGTCACATACATCATCCCTCCACCCATCATCATACATCACATACATACAATACATACATACATACATACATACATAATACATACATTACAGTAATACATACATAGATACATACATAGCATACCAGGTACATACATTTTACATTACAATACATATCATACATACATCAATACATAAATACATTACAGTACATACATACAGTACAATTACAATACATGATCATACATACATAATACATTACATACATTTACATACATACATACATACATAATACATACATACATACATTACGATACCATAACATAACATTCACATTAGCATATCATACATAAGCATACATAACATACATAATACATACATGACATAATAATGTACCAATAGCAATACATACATTAAACATACATAACATACCTAAAAAACAATACGACATTACATTATCATAGCATACATTATCATGCACCATACACTACATACATTACATCACTACATACTACATGACATACTAGTTAATATCATACATACATACACCTACATACCATACATACATACCATTACGATACTTACATAGCATACTACATACATACATATCATAATTAGCATACATACGATTACATACATAATACCATACCAACATATCATACATCTGATATAAATACATACTAGTTACATGCATACATGGACATTACATACATACTACATAGCATACATACTACATACATACGATACACTTACATATCATACATTACATACTACATACATATTCATACATACATTTACGATACTACATACATACATATATTCATACATACATTCATACATACGATACATTACGATACATGACTATACTACATACTACATACATGACAACATTACATTACCATACATACATACCATACAATAACAATACTATCATACATACATTACAATTATACATACTACATACACTAGCATTACGATACATACATTACAATAAAGTAGGATAGGATAAATAGAGACGATATGATAGATAGAAAGACGATGGAGAGGACGAGAGACGGGGATGTGCTTGGGAGAGAGGATGCTAGAGAAGAGACGGAGAAAAGATGAGTCAGATAGGCAGGAAAGAGAGGAGAAGGGAAGAGAGGGAGCTCCGAGGAAAGAGAGAGAGAGAAGAGATGAAGGAAGACAGACGAGAGCTGAGGAGGAGATGAGAGACGAGTAGGAGAGAGCGAGAGGGTTAAGGGTGTACTGGGGTGACGTTGTTACTGCCCTGGTAGAAACGAGGCTGGCGTAATAGGCTGGGCTGTTCTAAGGACTTAACAGCTAACAGAACTTCAACCACTAACGCATACGCATACGAGCTACCCACTTGAGTAATTATGCGTTCCAGTCACTATCTATTTTCGTGGGAGAAGAAGACGGGCGATGACGAGAGAGGCGAAGAGAGAGAGATACGACAGCGATGCAGAGATAGCGGAGGAGCGACCGAGAGATGAGAGAGACGAGAGAGAGGCGGAAGAGAGGTGACGCGGTCGAGAGCGCGACGAAGTGAGCAGCCAGAAGTACAAGAGAGAGAGAATAGCAGAGCTGCGTGGTGAGAGAGAGAGAGGCCGCGCTCGGAGAATATAGAACATGAGAGAGAGGGAAGGGGGAGACAAAGAAAGAGACGGAGAGAGAGTCAGAGACAGAGGCGAAAGAGGAATGGAGGAGGTGGTGTGTGTGCTGCGAAGATCAGAGAGATCGAGAGAGGATAGATGAGAGAGAGATCGAGAGAGAGAGACGAGAGATTGAGACGAGACCAGAGAGAGAGTGTTCTATTGTCGCGTTGTGTTGGTGAGAGCCGTAGATCACGTCGAGACGCGAGGAAACACAGAGATGAAAGATAAGACCAAGGGAGGGAAAGAGAGAGATCGATAGGAGACGATTAGGAGAACCGAGGATTAGAGAGAGAGATGAGAAGGAGAGACGAGCTGCCGGCGGCGTGCGACGCAGGATGAAGAGAAGCCGAGTGAGAGAAGGAGAGAGGAGGGAGAGAGAGGTGTGCGCGCGGGCTGGCGGCATCGACTGCGGCTGCCCTGGGAGGAGCAGAGAGCGCAGAAGAGCAGGAGAGAGGAAGCAGAGATAGAGAGAGGAGAGCAGAGAGGCAGAGCAGAGAGAGCGAGCGATTCGCATCTTCTCTCGTGAAGTCTCCGCTGCCTTCGTCGTTTTTCTCCATTCGGCGCGCAGCCTGGTTTCCAGCATCTGCTCTCTCTCCCTTCTCCTCTTCCACTCCCCCACCACCACCACCTCG